TTAATAATAATAATAATAATAATTACATTATTCATTATTCTTCTTATTAATCTTCTTTTAAAGCAAGCATTAATTTTGATTCATCTCCTAAATCAAAATCCTTTAAACTGAAATCACATTTATTTTATCTTCCCATTTCAGATGTTACACTCTTTGTTGATGTTATGAATTTCATAAATTTGTTCTATCTCTCTTTTCTTAACATTGGCTCTTTTGATTCCTCTATTTATTTGATTAGTTCATATTTCAAAAAACGAGACTCTTTATAAATTATTACATTTTACACTTCTTTTATCACAATTCATTATTGTTATGCTTTTTATATTTAATCTACTTTTTGATTCTTCAATAAAACTACGTTATAAATTATATTATTACTCAATAACTGATCTAACCAATACTTCAGAACTAAATGATCTATTTTATTTTATTGGACAATCACATATCAAAATGTCTTTGTATTCTTCATCATTCAATTATTATAAACTATTATATCTTCATATTTATTTTTACCATTCTCGAAATCCGTTATAATATTAGAATAAATCTTTTTCTGACTAAATATTATTATCTATTGTACTTCAAAAACTCTCACTCGATAATAGGTAATACATTTATAATTACTCATTTCTAAATTCTGAATGTACACTTGTTCATACCCAACTAAAACATTTGAATTATTTATACTTCGACTTAAATTGTCATAAATCTATTGAATGATGTTTTATTATAACGGAATTTTGTCAGCATTTGTATACAAACAAACTTTATTATAAAGTAAGAACTTACTTACACTTTCTCCAGATTCCTTCTATATGTCACCCAATTTAACCGTTATTTTCACATTCATATATTCTCTAAATATAACTAATTCATTATTCAAAACATGATTCTCCTTTTCTCTAGATAGACAACACATTCCCTCTTGATTTCCCATGCAATTATATTAAATAATTATTATTTATAAAATAAAAACAAATAAATGAATTATTTATACCCAATCAAAACTATTTATCAATTTTTATAATTGAAAATTCAACTCATCTGTTAGAGTTTCATTCCAATATTCATGATCGGTCTTCACATATTTCATATTATTTATTTATATCCTAATAAATCGATAAAATATTGTGAATGTAATTAGAAATTTAAACTAAATCTAAATGTGCCTTCAATTTAATATTAAGATTATATTTCAACATTTTATCGAAAAGTCTCTCTCTATGTAATTTTGGTGATAAAATTCTTCTCTATGGAGGAGGAAATATCTAATATCTTTCGATATATTTATTGTATCGTATCACTTTGCCTTTGAGTAAATAAAGAAAGTCTATAACATAAAAATAAGTAAAATATCCATTAATTCAAATCTTTTACTAATTACAAAATCAATTTATTTAATTTATTTTAATAGATTCAATTAAATTATTACGTGTTCTGATTAATTCCCAATTATATATCTCTTAGAATGAATTTTAGCAACAGTATTTGTTTCTCATTGATATATAAATGATAATGTAGGGTATAGAAAATATAGGATGCACAAAATCTAGAGTAGAATTATCAACTAATTGAAATATTCTATTCTTTTAATCTATAAAAGGTTGTTAAGCCCTTCAAATTGATGATATGTTCCAAAATGATCTTAAGTAATAAAAAGTTTGAATAATTGCTTAAAGAATATTGTGTAAGATGAGTTCTTTAAGATATAATAACATTTATCTAAATAGATTTGATGATATTTTCTTGAGATATGTTAAATATTTGACAACTACAGAATTTGAATGTTCACAAATAGGTTTCTTATGTATATATTTTGAACATATAAAATAAATATAAAAATTAAATAAATAAATTATGAATAGAATCGCTAATGGAGTGATAGGACTTGCCCTTAAGAATTAGGCATGTTTTAGTACAGCAAAGAAAGCTAAGATGGAATTGACAATTAGAACTCCATATAGAACAATATTAGACAAATTTGAAGGTTTTTCAAGAATAGTGGCTAAAACAAATGAAGTAATAATAATGCATTATAAATAAATAAGGCAGCATTGATAATTCAAAATAGAACTCCAGCTGCAGTTTATATTTTACCTCCAGGTCCTTTAAAAATAAAATTCACTTAAGATGTAAAAGGAGTGACAGGTGACTTTTTGCATTTAGGTGGGTATGTATTTGTTAATCCGTATAAATATTAAATATAATATAGAGATAATACTTGTGAAATTAATTTGATGGATGTAGTAGATAGAAAGGAAGCAAAAGTAGATTAATTTGATAAGTCTGATGTAAAAGATGCAGATACAGTAGCTGGAAGATATGCAGGAAAGATTAGAAGAGCTGCATAACGTACATTTATTAAAAAAGCAACAGCATGATATTAATATACATAAATAAATAAATATATTTATTAAATGGTATAATCTAAAGGGATGTCAAATTTTGAGACACTTATTAATAAAAATGTATTTGTTTAATAAATAATTAATACTATGCATTAACCCTCCAATATTTGTCCAAATCCACCTTCATACTATTTAGAAAAGTGTTTAGAGAATAGAAAAAGATTGTTGGAGTAATTTAAAAATAACAAATTTAATAAATAATACATCTGTCTTTAAGATGATTCTGAATAATCTATTCAAACTTTAGATTCTATATAAAAGTAATCTTATGAAAAGAATCTATATCCAAAACAAGAAACAATCAAATATTAAGAATCATAAAATTACTAAATAAGAGAAAACAATCAATAAAATTAGAAGAAAGTTCTTATCTAATATAAGTTCAAAAGTAAATTGTCATAATAAATATAATCAAATGAATTATCTAATGTAAATGTAGAATAATCAAAAAAAGAAATAGATTAATAAATAAATAATAATAATCTTAGAACAGTTGAAACTTAAACAGATTTATCCTGTAATAATGAAAATTTAGTAAAAGTAAAACAAAAAACTAAATTGATTGATGATTAATGTTAGACTACTGAAGATCTTTCAATTCATTCTTTAATTATTTAATAGATGAAAGAAGATGCATTAAAACCATATAAAAAATGGTATTCAATAAATTTAAATCCATCAATTCATTAAAAATTATTGATGACTGATAAATTTATGTAAGATAACAAAGTAGCCATAGATTATTTTGAAAGTCTTAAGAATAAAATTGATGATAGTTGAGATATTAATTATGTATGTAAATAATTATATGATATCATATAATTATATAATCAGAATATATAATAATTATTTAATAACAATGAAAATAAAAGTAATGATATTGTTAATGTACATATTTAGTCAAACATATTGTTAATAAAATGATGAAATTTTAGGCTATATGTATGTATTTGCTTAAGAATGGCCAGGATCGATATGCAAATTTTAGAAATGTACAAAAACATATATGGGAAATTATGATAATGGTAGATGGAATACACATGGATTATGGCCAAATACAATGCTTGAAACAACATGTGGAATGATATTCAATTGCAAAGATGAAGAATATGATGAAGATAAATTAACTGTAGCTACAAAAACATTAATAGATGTTACTTGGAATGGTATGTATGCAGATACATTTATATTCAGAAAGTAAGATATTAGAATTATTAATTAGACATGAATGGGAGAAACATGGAACATGTCATCCAGATAATCTATCATAAAATGGATATATGTTAAGAGTTGGAAATCTTAATAATTAATATAATATTTATAAAATATTAGCATCAGCAGGAATATATCCAGATGATGATAGATAATTAATAGATTCTGAAATTAGAACTGCATTTACAAAAGTATTAGGTATATCAACAGCAATGACATATACTTGTTTAAAAGATTGTAAATTAAATAATTTACAAATATATTAGCTGCAACTGGTAAATTCTATATTGCTGAATTAAGAACTTGTTTCACTTAATCAATGAAACCTAGAACATGTGATTGTACTTAACCTATCAGTGATTTTGTAACATGTGGAAGAACATTCTATTATCCCACTTTTATATTATCAAAAGATTAATAAATTTAACTTGAACAAATCTCTGATTTCAATTATAGCTTTTTAGAATGAGATTATACAATTTAATATTATAATTTATAATAATAATAATAATAAGACATTATTAATAAAAACGAATTTAGATGATCTTTTGGAATAGATTAATGTCATCATTACCAAACTTTATATTGTTTGGAGTACTCATATTTACATACATCATATATTTTATTGTAATTTATTTATTTTACAAAGACCAATTTAAAACCATAATTTGATGGATTAACTTATGAAATCATCATATAACATTTATTTATTCTTATATTTCTAATTTCCTTATTCAGAGCTATGTATCTAAAACCAGGACTTATGTCAAAAGTTTTAATTATTTTTATTTAGGAAACTATTGATGAAGCTTTGGAATAAATGAAAAGATTTCAATAATTAGATAAAGAGATAACAGATTAAAAAGAAAAATAAAGTTTAAAATCTGGTTCAAAATTTAAAGCAGAAAATGAAGAAGTTAAATGTTTAGTCAATCTTGATAGTGAAACAATTATTATTGAAGAAGAAAAAACAATAAAATTAGATCAAAACCTAAATACTCAATCTTAAAGATTTTGTAAAAAATGTTGTATACCTAAACCCCCAAGAGTTCATCATTGTTCAGCATGTAATAATTGTTGGTAGAAAATGGATCATCATTGTTTATGGATTAACAATTGTGTTGCTAAAGATAATTATAAAATGTTTATTTGTATGGTCTTTTTTAATAAATTTAAAATTAGAGACTTTCTTTTAATTTGGGTCACTATTTCATAATATAATGTTTTTTAGATGTTAATAACAAATGATGTTTCAGATATTTCAGATTTAAAACTCTATTTAATAGTGCTACATTTCTATTTAATATTCCTTCTTTCTGTTCTGATATTTGGATTCTTTTTATTTCATATTTACCTTATATCCTAAAATAAAACAACCCTTGAACAACTTGAAGATAAACCAGATGTACAATAATTATAATCATAATATTTAGAAACATAAATATAATAGAGGAATATGGCTTAATTTTTAATTTATTTTAGGTTCAAATATTTTGTATTGGTTTTTACCAATCTAATGATTTATACAAAATAATTATAAATTTCAACTAATTTTTATTTTTAGATTAGCTTATTTTTTTATACTTTCTTATTCTCATTTAATATCTATTTAAAAATTATAACAAATTCAACATATGAGATCTAATATAGATTATTTAACAAAGATAATAAATTTTTTAGATATATTATTATATTAGTTTAAAATATAGGAAATTATCCTATTTCAATATAAATTAAAAATTAAAATAACTATTGAATCATTGTCAAAATTTACACTTTTGATCTTGTCAACAGATATTTTTAATTTATTTTTTTATTCTTAGTAATTTTAATATTTTATTTAAACTAAATTATATCTCTAAATCAAATTGCATATAAATTTTTAAAGAATTTTTAGTTGTTATTAAAATATAAAATGCAATTCTAATTTAAAAAGATTAAGAATATAAGGATAGTTTAAGTGAAACTATAATTGAAATATAAAAAAATGAATAATTAAAATATATATTCATTATTATACACAATCTTAAGCATTGTAATATTTTAACATATCTATTTAAAACAACAATAATTATTTATATGAGATTTGCATGAATTCTTCCCACCATTTTTACGAACAAAACTCTTCTTTTAGTTTAATTAATTTTTATTTATCAACTGCATGCATTCTAAAGAATTAAATTCCTAAATAAATAGAACCTTTTACACAATCAACTTAGGTCTTAAATAATTAAATTTACATACCATATCAGTAGAAAAGTCAACAAAGAATGTATCTTAAAAGATATCAAATATCATTTATCTCAACCCCTATTCAAAATGAAAGATCTAGAGGTAGATTAAACATAAATTACTTTTAAATAGTTCAATAACAACTGATAACTATCTAGAGTTTCATTTTTTAAATCAAAATTAATTATTCTCAAAATATGTTATTCTGCTTCTAATACTTCTTTTTTCCAATCTGCATATTATTCATTATTAAATAAGGGTACTAATTTATCAAAGTATTCAATGTTGTAATTTTCATATTATTCTATACTTAAATATTTAATTGGATCATCATCATCATCAACCTAATTATTAAGTAATAATTTTTATTTTCTTTCTTAATTAGCTAATGTGTACATTTTATTCACAACACAAATTACTTACTTATTAGTATGAATTCCTTACTAACTAAAATATCTCTAATTCTTTTTTAATCTTCGACTATTTTACTCACTAAATAAAAACAGGCTGTAATAACCATTTCTTTTTTAAACTATCTCTTGTTACTTAGTGTAAATCTATCGATCTATCTTTGTCATACCTTTTATAAATAGTAATCACATGACTTATAGTAGGAGTAGATAAATTTAATATTACTCCAATTTCTTATATAAGTCTCAAAAATTCATATCCTTTCATTATGTAATTATTTTATATTAAATAAATATCAAATAAAAGTAGCTAATTCATTTTTCAAATTATTTAGTTCTTCATTCTCATATTCTAATATCCATGACATTTAATTTAATTTCTTATTGAATTATTTAGCTACATTGAATATCATATGTCTAATAACTGGCAAAGGATATTCATCAATTATCCATTTTTTTAATTACTTATCTGAAGAATAATCTTCAAAACTTTCTCTTATTGCATTGATTGCATATTCTAAGTATATATCAACTATATCTTATCCAATCAATAATCTTTATAAAATCATAATTAAATTTCTTAAATCAATTTTATATCTTCTTCTTCTTCGCTTTTCTAATGGAAGATTTTAATCAATAAGTAACTATTTATCAAACAGTTTTTATATACTCTCATTTTTTGAATCAATCAAATAAATATTCAATTTACCATTCTCCCATTTTAAATCAATTATTAAATAATGAATTGTTATACCACAAATAAGTGTTAAATTAGATATCTATTATTATCTTAATCTATTAAATTAATCTTATAAGGTAGATAATTGTTCTATTGAATTTTAAATGATATCGCACCCATAAAATAATGAATTTATTTCTTTTGGTATTTTATTTCCAAATTCTTAATAAACTTTTAGTTATTATACAATGTTATTATTCAGTAAATAATCAAGATGATATCTCTATAATTCATCAAAATTTTCGAAATCTCCTTCAAATGTTAAGTTTAACAATTTAATTAATTCAAAGTAAAATTTCCAAAATAGAGCAACATTATGATTGATTTCAAAATATGTATTAAAAAGTGCATAAAATCCACATATATTAGGTAGATATTATTCTATGGAAATAAGTCTCTTAACATTATAGATTTCTTCAACAATGGTTTTAGTCTCATTTAAGGTATTTGAGTATATTTAATCAATAATTTCATTTAAAATTTCTTATTCTTGCAAAGCATATTTATTCATTTATTATTAATTATTAAAAATAATAATATATAGATTTTATATTAATAGATATTATGAATTATATTTAAGGAATGTTATTTAAAAGTATAAAGAATGTTTGATATTTATAATAATAATATATAACAGTCTAATATTTNTTACTCCAATTTCTTATATAAGTCTCAAAAATTCATATCCTTTCATTATGTAATTATTTTATATTAAATAAATATCAAATAAAAGTAGCTAATTCATTTTTCAAATTATTTAGTTCTTCATTCTCATATTCTAATATCCATGACATTTAATTTAATTTCTTATTGAATTATTTAGCTACATTGAATATCATATGTCTAATAACTGGCAAAGGATATTCATCAATTATCCATTTTTTTAATTACTTATCTGAAGAATAATCTTCAAAACTTTCTCTTATTGCATTGATTGCATATTCTAAGTATATATCAACTATATCTTATCCAATCAATAATCTTTATAAAATCATAATTAAATTTCTTAAATCAATTTTATATCTTCTTCTTCTTCGCTTTTCTAATGGAAGATTTTAATCAATAAGTAACTATTTATCAAACAGTTTTTATATACTCTCATTTTTTGAATCAATCAAATAAATATTCAATTTACCATTCTCCCATTTTAAATCAATTATTAAATAATGAATTGTTATACCACAAATAAGTGTTAAATTAGATATCTATTATTATCTTAATCTATTAAATTAATCTTATAAGGTAGATAATTGTTCTATTGAATTTTAAATGATATCGCACCCATAAAATAATGAATTTATTTCTTTTGGTATTTTATTTCCAAATTCTTAATAAACTTTTAGTTATTATACAATGTTATTATTCAGTAAATAATCAAGATGATATCTCTATAATTCATCAAAATTTTCGAAATCTCCTTCAAATGTTAAGTTTAACAATTTAATTAATTCAAAGTAAAATTTCCAAAATAGAGCAACATTATGATTGATTTCAAAATATGTATTAAAAAGTGCATAAAATCCACATATATTAGGTAGATATTATTCTATGGAAATAAGTCTCTTAACATTATAGATTTCTTCAACAATGGTTTTAGTCTCATTTAAGGTATTTGAGTATATTTAATCAATAATTTCATTTAAAATTTCTTATTCTTGCAAAGCATATTTATTCATTTATTATTAATTATTAAAAATAATAATATATAGATTTTATATTAATAGATATTATGAATTATATTTAAGGAATGTTATTTAAAAGTATAAAGAATGTTTGATATTTATAATAATAATATATAACAGTCTAATATTTAAAAATATAAAAATTATTTGAATTAATATAAATAGTTGAATAAAAATAAGAAGAGATGGATTCAAAAAAATTAAGTAAAATAATAGAGCTAATTTTCTTATCGATAGCTGTAAAATATTAATGAATAATATAAGTGGTTATCAGTGCTAGCTTGTTTGATTAGAACAGATTTTAATTTTCCATTTGCTTTCTTTTGTTATTATTTATGGATATCAAGAGATGATAAAGCTAATTCTTTAATGGTAATATATAAAATTGATATATCTATAGTTAATGGTATTGAATGGAATCTTAATTTTGGTTGATTTAATTTGGTTATTGTCAGTTGGATCAATTTGGACTGCTACAGAAAAGAATAATCCAGTTTGGGGAAGATTACATGGTCTACATGTATTTGTAATATTTATTAGTATTGTAAATGCTTTATTAAAAGTAAAATAATAGATTAATTATTAGGTTGGTGCAATTGTGGCAATAAATTCTTATAGAGGAAATTAATAATAAGTTGGTAATTAATAAATAATTACATTAGCTGGTCCTGTTGGAACATAAAATCCATAATAAAGTGGATTCAATGATATGTCTTAAAATAGATAACAACCATATGCATAATTTTGATGAAATTAAATATATTCAAAATTATATATAAACTTTAAATAATTATTATATAAATAAAATTTAACAGTAAAATTATATGTCAATGTAATAACAAAAATATCAAACTCTAATGGGTTCTGATGATGTATCACAATTATGTAGTGGATTTATTAGATTTATAGAAGAAGTAATTCTCTTAATATTATATAAATAGATTCTATTACCTATTGCAAAATAAGATACTAAATAATTTTAAAATTGGACAAAGTTTAAAGAAATCATTGATCCATTTAATAAAAAAATAGAATTACAAAGAGTTGAGTAATTTTTCTAATAATTTAATAATTCTAAGATTAATCAAGAGAATAAACCACCTACTCCAATTCTAAAAGATTAAACTAAAAATACTGTAAATATTTAAGATAGAAGTTATTCAATACCATAGACTACAGTATTTTAAACTATTAAAGAAGATTATGAAACTAAACTAAAAGAAATTACAGATAAAATAAATAAAACTTTTCATTAAAATAATACTCATTTAGATATCCTTCTAAAAATGAATAGTACTACTCAAGAAGCTAAAAATAAATTAGAACTTACTAATAGCAATTAAAGAAATACATCGATTACTAGAAGAGTGGAATATAAAAGAAGAAATACAGATTACTACTCTTTTAAACCTATTAATATACAATGAATAAATATTTGCATATAACTAAAAAATATTTAAACATATTCTAATCAAAACTCATCTTCTGGATTTTCTCCATCATCAAAACCTTCAATTTACTATTATTATTATTATATTGTTTATTTATTAGGAAATTAAAATAACTTTTATTATGACTGTTATTATTATTGTTATTTTGATATATTTAATTCATCAACATCAACTTTTTTTTTATTTGCATAAAATATTTAATCATGAATCAAAGTTACTATCTTTTCATTATCTAATAATGTTTAAATTAATTTATCTCTATCTTCTTTTTCTAACATATCTAATTTATCTAAATAATTAACTATAACTCTTACTTTTATTATTCTTATTTAGAATTCTTGCTTCTCCTTTTATTTATATTATTTCTTCTTTTATATCATCAATACATTTTCTTAATACGTGTTCTAATTCTGATTTGCTTTATAATTCTTATATGTATAATTATTTCAATTCTCTTACTTTCTTTTATTCCTTTTTTAATGTTGATTATAAGGATTTCATTGTTTTCTCATACCTTTACTTATATTATTGAATTTATGAAGAACCTTAAACTTATTCTTATTATATTTAAGATGGATTTAATTATTCATCTTTATTTTATTTATTCTAAGATTAGGCTAAATTCTTAACAGACCTAATTCTTACTTTTGCTTTACTTCCAGGTCTTACAACATCCTAATAAGATGGTTAATCAAAAGAATGATCATCCTATTCTATTTCATCTTTTTAAACTTCATTCAATAATTTCTCATATTATTAAATTTATGATTTAAGAATCGCATTTTTCTTCTTTTTCATTATTAATTCTTTTAATAGCATTTCTCGATCATTCTCTTATGTCTAATACTATATTTTTAATTCTTTATATTTTTACATCAGAGAATGATTTTCATTATCTATTTTTTATGCTATATTTTTAATCCATTCTAATTCACTAATCAATTAATTTTCCTTCTCAATATATTCCTAATCATTTTTACCTTTCTTTATTCTTTCCTCTTCAAATTATTTCTTTATTTCATTTATTTTATTATTAAAAAATCTAATAATATCCCTCTCTTAATCCACTAATATTTTTGATGTTCTTAATTAAATATTATTTATTCCTTCAATGATTTTATTATGATCCTTATATATATTCTCCATTATTTTTCTATCCCCTTAATCTAAAGCTGTCTTAGCTCTTAATTCATATTATAATTCTTCTATTGTTTTTCTATATTCAATTTCTCTATTAACAAATCTTTCTTATCTATTTTTTAATTCTAATTCCAATTAATTTGTTCTCATCTTCTCTTTTTCCAATATTGCTTACAATTCTTAACACTTTAATATCCAATCTTATGCCGTCATTTCATTTTTAGCAATCACATTATTTTATTAGATTTACTTTTTCTTATTTTTTGGATCGTTTGGATCACCTTTCTTACCTTAAAGATCTATTTACATTTTTGTCGGTTTTAAGATTGCCTCAGAATTAATAACTAAAAATTAAATTCAAACTCACATTTCGTTAAATCAGGAGTTGTTGATGCTAATCTATCTGCAATTTCTTACATCTTTTACATACTCTTTGTATTTTTTATATATTATTAGTCATCTTATATTTTCTACATTTATTATATTGTTATAATATAAAATATATAAATAATAAAATTTTTAATTAATTTATAAATAAAAATAAACTTCAATTTTAAATATAATTGTTAACTCATATATCTCCATTTTCTTAAAGTTATATTAATTTTCATAATAAACAGAAATAATTTAATCATTTTTTCATTTCTGATATTTAGATATAAAAAACAACATTAATATTAAGAGTTAAATATTACATAACAAAATAACAAGAATCTATGAAAGAATAAAGAAACTTATTGTTTTATTTCATATAATTTCAAATTAATCCTACGTATATTCAATTATTAATTCTTGTTTAACAAAATAAGTATGTTTAAAATTGCAAATCTTTCTTAATAAGGCTATTCTAATTTAGAAAATCTATATTAAATGTCAGATTTAATCATTTTCATTATTACCAAATGATAACCATCATCAGTGCTATATAATATAGTATAATCCTGATATACTCTATCTTAGAATAGATGTGATTATGATTTAAAAATACTACTTAATATCTATTTCTCTAAAAAGAGTATGGAATTTTATAACTTTAATTTTAATTTTAAAATAGATTTGCCTTCATTTTTTGTTTTAATGTTAGATGAGAATTTGATAAGTCATCTTGGATATGTGATATTACTTAACCAACAAAATTTATTAATTTTTTACTTCATCTAATTTATTTTTTTATTTTTAATCATTTCTATTTCTTTTTTTAGGATTAATTACATAAAAAAAATAATTATTAAGTTAGTTTGTAATTTATAAATGATTTTCACTTATAAACAATTATGTTTTTTAATCAATTGGAATTTAAGTAGTTTAATTCAAATGTATCATTTTTATTTTTTTTATTTAGCGTAATTTAGCTACCTAATGCCAATTAATAAGCTTATTAATATTATCATTCTCAAATCTTACTCTCTTTCTTTAGGATTCATTTTTAAGGTTGAATTATATTATGGATTCTCTTAATGCAAATCTTAAACCTTTTTAGAGTTTTTCAACTTAATTTAGCTAAAAATCTATAGTTATTGTTTATAGTATTACTGAAACGAAGTTTGGATAATACTTTGAATCATTTAATTTTTTTTAAATATTGTATTTATAAATTTTTTGGAATAGCAAATTATAAACTATAAAAGTTAAAAATTAATGCATGAATTGATCAATTAATTATGAATTCAAGCTCAAGACATTATTAGTTTTTTGAAAATAACAAGTTAAATATTTCTTTCCTTTATTTAAAAATTCGATTTATTATTGGTTTTTTAGGTTTCAAAAATCTTTAAATGTAAGAATGATAGAGTTACATTTGATTTTAGATCATTATTTAAAGTTTATATAATGTTATTTATTGTAATAATTTTATTGAATAAAGAAGAGTAATCTAATTATTAATTAATGTATAATAATTATTACAAATAAAAATAGATCATATGAACTCATTCATTTCATAGTTCTAATAAGATTGTTGATTCTTACAAATTATCTACAATTTTTAGAATTATTAAATTTTCTCTCATTCTAGTTTTATTCCTTTAGCAAGTTTTTAAATGATTTTAGTTACTAACGTTCTTAGATTTTAGAATGCTTGGTTGTTAATCTGATTTTTAAAATTGTTTAACTTTTTAAATCTTGATAAAAGGCAGGAGAGGGTATTGTTCACAATGATGATATTAAAAATTTTGACTTTTATTTCTTTGGCTTTGACGTAATGCTATTTTTTTAGATAATAATCGAGGAATAAAGGAATGAGCTTATTGCCCTATTTCTTAAGTTTAGTTTAAATTTGCATCAAATACTTGTCTTTTAACTCTTTATGTTTTCTGGATATCCAATTTATCTTCAACCTTTTCATGTTTGTTTTCTATCTATTAACTTAATGATAGATTTTGTTTAGTTTTAATACCAAAATCTTAACTGCTTGGTTTTTAAAAATGCTGATGATTTTTGAATTGAATAAAAGAAGGAGAATCGTTTTCAATTATACTCATTTTGAATGGTGGTTCAAGATTTTTAGTTTTAAAAATGAGCATAGAGATTCTTTAATTAAACTTCAAATAAATCTCTCAATAATATCTTTTTATATTGATATATAATGTTATTAATTTAATACGTAAATTTATAATTCAGTGTAACTCAAATGCTTATGTATTGATAATAATATTTTTAAATTAATAAAGACGTCACCAAATATTCAAAATAAAAAAAAAAAGAAAAAATGCATATAGAGACCCAAGTCTATCGATTTTGACTTAAATTTAGTTTGTTTCTATTATATTCTATTATTTTAATTCTTTAAACAATCAACTAAAAGGAAAATTAAGGAGAATATAGATTGAGTAATTTTAAAACTCTTTTAATTTTTGAAAACACTACTCATTTATAATTTTGTTATTGATATCTTTATTGTTTAATGTTTTTGAGTTATTATTTTTAATGTTTTGTAATTCTAATAGTTATATAATTAAAAATTGCTATTTTCATTATGAATTTGTAATAAATATGATTCTGTAGTCAGGATGATTTACTTATAAAAAGTTTAGAGGATTTATTGAAAAATGAATTCTTAAGAGAGAGTTTAATGAAATTTTAAATTTTAAATTGAATTAAAATTAGGAATTATCTAATTTTAATAGGAAAGATGAATGATTAAAATAGATATTGAGAATAATATACAAAAATATATTATATTGGGAAAGAAAAAAATAGATGTTTTTAAATTTAGAATTAGTTGAAAGTAAATTAATTTAATAATGTAAGAAGAATAAAAACTTTATTCAATTATATTTCCTGATTCGAACTTGTAATCTATAAATCAAGTACCGTTTTTCATAAGAGATTACGAAATAAATAGAAAACAAATTTATAGCTCAGCATTTTCAAATGAATTGTTAATTTTAGGACATTATGTAACTTATTTAAATTGAGAATAATTAGAGTTGTATTTCGATAATAGATGTAGTGACTAGAAACTACATAGTATAATATATGAATTTGAATAATTAAGGATGTATAGTAACTGCAGCTGCAATAGGATATTATAACAATTATATATTGATAGGTACATAGAAGGGTAGATTAGAAATGCTATAATTATGTAATTCAATAAAATAATTTGATATTCTAAAATAGATTGAGATAATAAAATTTAGTACATGTTAGATTTAGAATATATTTTTAACAAATGGAGATTTGGCAATAATAATTGATTTAAAAAGCATAAAATGTTTATATACAAATTAGTTGACATAGATGGTTTAAAAGTAAAAAAAAGAAGAAAGCAACAAATATTAATTATTATAATAAGATATTGAAACAATAACTGAATAATTTGAAGTTGGAATAAGTGCAAGTGCTTATTGTCATGAGACAAATCAATTAGTAATTTCATTAGGAGATAGTTCTTTAATTGTATATACATTTATAGGAGAAGACATAAACTCTAATTTAAGGAATTCAAAAACTTATGTGATTGAACCCTTTGAAATAATAAATAAACTTACAATCAGTAATGATGGTAGATTATTGGCTATAGCTTAATGTAGAATGATAAATGGTTTAGAATATAAAATTAGTATAGTGGATTTAAATAGAAAAGGAAAGGTAATTAAAAAATATTAATATTATGATGGAGCTGAGGTATTTGATATGAAATTCTTTCCTATTTAAAATAAATTATATGTTGTAATAAATACAGGATAACTATTTGTTATTGATATAGATTAAAATAATGATGAAAGATTGAATATATCTAATTTAGGTGATGTTTCTAAATCAATTTATCCATTAAGTTAATATTAAGAATTTCCTAATTTATTATAGATTTCAGAAAATGGATTAATTTAAATTATTTCTTTTGATACATAAAAAATTGATCATTTAATTTAAATGCCATTTCTTTATTTTATTGAATTAAAATTATAAGAAATGTTTAATTATAAACCATTATTGTAATAATTTTTTTAATCATCCTTTTATATTGGATTTTCAGGTATAGATAAGAAAACTTAATCTAATTAATAAATCATGTTAAATGGAGAATAATATTTTGAACCATTATATGATGGTATTTTAAAAATGAGTGAATTTAGAGAATTTTATAAAACAGAATTTTAAGAAAGATTAAAACATAGAAGAAAGAAATATGAATTAAGAATATAAATATTAGCTTGGTCACTTAATAGTATTAAATAAAATTCTATACCTTAATCTTTTGGAATGGGTATACCATAATAATTAGATTTAAAAAAAAATGAAAGTGAAAAATAAGATTATAGAAAACATTCAAAATAGAAAAAAAAGAAATAATTTATGAAAATTGAATAATTCTTTGATACTACTTAAGATTCAGATAATAAAATGTTTTTATATTTAAGTGATCTTGCTGATGCTTATCTCAGATAATATAATGATATGAAACTTAGTGATGATAGATATTTAATGATTTCCAAACTCTTATAAAATATACCATATTAAAATTTAACCATGATGCTTCTAGGTAATTGCTCTTTATTATTTGATGTCAAACTTCCATTTAAAGATTATATGATTGATTTAATCAATAAAGTTGATAGATTAAGTTATTTAGATCTTAGTAATAATAATATTACTTTTGAAGATATCAAAAAGATTACTCGTCTAAATTAATTGAAATATTTAGATTTATCAAGTAATCATCTTGGTAATCAATCTAAAAAACCAATGATGAAATAAAAAATGAGATATTAAAATTTAGAAATGGTTAATGATGAAGAATAATAATTAATCTCTGAAGAAGATTTCTCATTTTATAAATTACTTTTTTAAAAAATTCCTATTATTAATCTTAGAAACAATTAATTCACTGATGAAGAGGGATGCAAATTATTAAAGACTCTTGAAAATAATGAAGATTTAAGAGTTTTAGATATATCTGGAAATTAATTATTTAAAGAATAAACTAAATCTTAACTAGAAATATTAATTAAAAATAAAAATCTAATTATGAAGAATACTCAAACCTTAATTATTGAGTTTTCTGAAGAATTATCAGAAACTGCTATGAAATTCTTTACTAAATAAATTATTGAGAAATTTACTATTCAACAATCTGAAGAATAAAAATAAGCTAGATTTTCTGATATAGAAATGCCTGAAAACTTAGTAAATGAGGAGTTACCAATGAATTTCTATTTATATATTGTAAACTCTAATTAGAATTACTATTGGGATTAATCTCTATTATAATTGTATGAAAGATATGATGAAGGAGAAGTAGATGAAATCAAAACATGCTTTGTATATATTATATTATTATTTATAGTGTTCATTTATAATGATATACATCAAAATGTGTTTCGATGTATTTGATGTAATTTAAAAAAACTTTATTGAATGTTTAAAACAATGCTTTTGCTCAGTATTTTTTATTAAAAAATACATCTTATGTTGTTATTGTGTATTTTTATAAAGTAATTATGGATCATTCATCACTCATCTATTAGGTATTAAAACAGCTGATTATGAATATAACAACAAAAAAGATGATCTTAAAAAGCATCTTGAAAATAGTAAGTATCCACTAAATATAATATTTTGGATTAACTTTTTAGCATTTTATTTTATTTGTGTATTTGTACCTATATATTTTGTACTTGCTTGTTAAGGTCATTAATGGACAGGACATTTTATATATTGTGGTTATGCATTTGCTGTTTGCATATTGGAACTAAGATTAGCTAAAACTTGTATTGATCATTAAATTACTCATTCTGAATTTTCTAGTGGTCCATACTGGAAGAGAATAATGTTTTTTGTAATAATATATATAATATAAATTTAGAGTAAAGATTTACTGTTGAGTCAAATGGCTAAATTTGATGTATATTCTGATATTTGTTTTATTACAACTGTAATGACTTGTGGGGATAATCCAGCTATTGGATATTGTGCAATAATAATTATGTTTTTAACATTGTCTACAACGATGTTTCATATTTTAAGTTTGTTATTATCTAGATAAGATGGTGATGAAAATTATATTGATTATTTATGTAATTATTGTTCTTTTGTTGAAATACATTTAGTAGGTTCATTATTAGAAAAATGGACAATTTAAAATACAACAAACTTTTTATGGATGAAAGGTATTCCAAACAGAGTTTATGCAGCAACATTTAGAACATTTGCAGAAGACTTTCCATAATTTTTATTATAAGTAATTTACTTATTTTTAAATCCAAATAAAAAATCAATAGAAATTTTAATGCTTTCTTTAGCATCATCAACAATATCAATAATAATATCAATAACAAAATCATTAACTATAACTAAAGCTAATAGAATTAATGATATAATAATGATGAATGAAGTAAAGACAAAGTTAGGTTTACATAAAGAAGTAACAGATCCTAAATTAAATGAAGAATTAATTTAATTTTTACATGATTATTATTAGAATTTTGATGGAGAAGAACATGTTCAAATATTATAATATGGAATGGTTGATAATAAATATTTAAGAAAACCTTTGGAAAATACTACTAATATAAGAACAGTAAAAGGATAGAAATAAACAATCAAAATAATGAAAGGAATATCTATGTTAGTTGAATAATAATAATAATAATAATAATAATCATAAAAAGCATAACCAATAATCAAAAATCCAACTTAAGCATTAGATTATGAGAAATTGGATTTTTTTGAACCATATTTATTTTTGATGAATAGCAATTAAGCAAAATTAATTTAGAAATTATATCAAAGAGGGTAAGAAATGATTCCTGAAATAGCATAAGTACTATTAGAATTGGAAATACAAGATTATGTAGATAATGTTCCTTCATTTTAAAATGAATATGAAAAATTTGATTTTTTTGAGGGTAGTTTTATTGAAAGTTTTGAAGTTTAAATAAAAATCTTAGAAACAATATATAGATATGTTAAAATAGATATAAATAAAGAATTATCTATTTTAGATATTGGTTGTGGTACTGGATTTACAGGAACAGCTATATTAAAATTATTAGAAAAATTAAAACCAAAAGGAACATTTAAAATTTTATGTGTTGATCATATTCCATAAATAATAGAGAGAGCAAAAAATGTAATAGAAATGGGATTTGAAGATTTCTTATAAAATAAAATAATTTAATTTGAAAATTATGATTGTAGAAATTCTTTGATGTAATTTGGATAATTTGATATAGTAAATTATGGTTTTGCTGTTTATTAAGCTGAAAATATATTAGTAAAATAGGATGGTATGGCTATAATACCAAAAATAGTATTAACACCTTAAGAACATGAATTTTATGCTTTATATAGATATAATGATAAAGAAGATGAATTAATAAATTTAAATTTAGAAGCTTAATCAGGATAATTAGTAGCAAAAGAACTTTAATATCCAGATCTATATTAATGTATATATATATAATTGTTAATAATTAGATTTTGAAATAAAGAGAGGAGAATAATGTAGTATATGTGGTTAATAAATAATGAAATAAAGTTAATTTTATTCTCCATGGTTATGTAAACATTACTGCATTGAATGTGGTTAAAAGGATGATGATAAAACAGAATTATCAGAATTTACAATATTAAGTAATTTAGTATTTATTCCATCATGTTCAAGTGATGAGGAAATGAATAGATTAAGTTCATATAAATTTGGACATAACCTATTCCCTAAAAAGAATTAATAACTTAATAAATATCATCCCATAGATTGTCATCCATGTTAAAGAGAGAAAGGAGAAGAAAGAGATTTTGATCCATTACCTAGATATATATGTTTAAATTGTAGACCTGGTAAATTTGATGGATAGCATGTTGATATATGTTATGAATGTGCTAAATGTTTTATTGATGATGAAATGGAAAATGAAAGAGATCTTAAGTTATACTATTTATCAGGACATTAATCAAGCCATTTATTATTGAAAATCCATTTTTATTATGATTATAATAATTATTGATGAATTTAGAAACATTAGATATTTTGATTATTCTAATCAATCTGTATTCAATTACACATTCTAATTAGTATTGCACTATTATTAATGATCCTTACATATCTACATAGTCTCATTAAATAAAAAACTAGAGAATCTGACATTTCATAATATAAGATCTAACCTATTATACTTGTGGCATAAATCGACAAATATAAAATTACAAAAAAACAAAAAACTAAAACTTCTAAAGGAAAAGTATTTTTTCTTTCTCTTATAATTTTCAAGTAAAAAGATGAATATTAATGTGATACATGTTCTTTTTCATTTACCTTAGACAGCCAAGAATAATGAATATTTTAATACATTTTCTTATTATATATAAAATAGCTCATTATTATTATTACCTAGATTCTTTCTATAATTTCCTTTATTTTACTGTCTATCTCCATACATATATTATCAATCCCCATTTCACAATTACTTTCACCCCAAATAAAAATACTAATCCCAAAAACCCTCCTTAATTTATTTATCAACTTTCCATACTTGATTGTGATATTTTTATGAATAAATTAAACCAATTCTCATATTCTCTTAATTTCCCTTCTAAATTTATTGGTATTAATTTTGCTTTTGGATACTATTACATCAGAACCTTCTCATATGTGCCTAATTCATCCACTAAACCTAATTCTTTTGCTTCTTAACCTATATATATATTATTTTCCAATTATTCCTATCTTAATTTTAATTACTCTCTTCTATTCAACCAACATTCATTACTCAACTGCTTACTTCTAAATCCATAATAACTTTCTAAATAATCCATTTCTAGTTAACTTTTGCTTTTAATTGGTGAGTTTACACATAAATTATGATTCACTATTTCATTAGATTAATATTACAATGACTTATATTAAATATAAAATATTTTTACATTTATGCCTTAATCTTATAGAAATTCTCCAAAATTCAATTTATTTTAATAAATTTATGTGAAACCAATCTTAGATGTATTTTAAGCATAAGATTTATTTCCCAATTATAACAATTAATATGCATTGCCTAAACTATGTTCAGTTGCAAATGTATAAAGAGGTAACCCATTTAGATAATTGGTAATCCTCTTTTTTAACACTTCAACTTAATAGGGACATCCTCCTTTAGAATTTATAATTAATCCCAAAGCTATTACACTTCCTCTATTATAATTCTCCAACTAATGAGATATTTAACTAACTCTATAATGTATAAATCTATTATTACAATTAAGAATTTATTGAACCTTGAATTCTTAATACTAACACTGTTTTTTAGAAAAATATTTTTGATATTAATTAACTCATAATAATTATAAATAAATATTAAATGATAGTGAAATTATTATCATACAATCTAAGCATTTCTATCTTATAATTTTTAGTTGTGTTAATTTTCATCAATTACAAATATTACAATATTTTCTTTTTATAAAGATTTACTTCTTTAACATTAACACCTTTATTAATGTAAACAATTATATGATTCAGTTCTGTAATTATTGATTTAAGAGGCTGATCTCTATATTTTATTTGCCTATGAGATTTGCAAACAAGGTTAAATACTTTAAAATCGATTAGCAATTATTTTTTCAATACTTCCTTGTCTACTTAAGAATCTAAACCTATCATAATTAACTTTGTGCCACTCTCTTGCGTTAAATTTCTTCTTCTATTAGATAAACTATCCTTAAGTTTTTGAGAATTAGTTTGTCACTACATGTTAAAAAGGCTTTTTGTCTTACTAAAAATTAGTAGGGATATATTGCTTCTTTTTGAACAGCTAATGTATATTGCAATATCGAATTTGTAATAAACTTTTAGTCTATTTTGAACATTTATCTTCATTATTGAATACTTCTTTATGAATAGAACTACTTGTTGAATAACGTCGATGAAGTTAGTGAGAAGATCTAGCCTCTCTAATGAATTTTATTGTTTAGTAACTCATTTATTAATTAGCAGTTGTCTCAATTGTTTTAATTTTTGACCCTTTCAGAAGCATTAAATTTATGATTATTTTCCTTAATTTATATATCAAATTACTATACCATCATCCATAAAAATATTAAATATTGTTTATATCATCCTAGATTACATTATTATATACTCCTCGATATCAATAAATAATAATCCGTAATAATTTATTAAAAGTAAATTAACAACTTATGGATTAATAATATTCTAAATTAATTAAATTGTTAATTTTCATTATAAATTAAAAGTCTTAAAATATTTGTAATCATATTCAAAATACTTTTCTTTATTTTAGATCTATTACTCAACTTTCTCATACAGGGAAATATTATATCATATTTTATATCTGTTATAATTTATTAGATAATTAACTGACCCTGAACTAATTTGACTTTATTTTCATAGATTATCCTAATCATTTGATCTTTAATCCTATACCTTAAATGAAATTGCTAAAGATTATTTAAATATTCATTTGAGTATTAAACTTTCTCTTAATTGCATAATTTTAGTAATTTAATAATAAAATAAGAAGGTTCACAATTATTGTCAAATTTTAGATAATTTAAATTTGGTCAGAGAAAATCTTCATTTTTATGATGAAATTATTGTAATTTAATACAATTTAATTTATAGAATATCAAAATTTTTTGGAGCAAAATTTAATGATAAAATTTTATATAAGACGGCATTGGGGTTCTAAACAATTATTCAAATTATTATAAAATTTGTTAAAATTATATAAATCTTTAGTCAATAAAAATATTTCACACTATTTATTTGATTAAATGAGATTTTATTCTATCAAAAATTTTTATCTCCACCAATTCATTGAATCTAACAGTTTTCTTTTTTTATTATTCATCTATTAATTAATCTTTGTTACAACTAACTTACTTTAAATTTGATTTTGATCTTACTCTTTCGATATCTGATTTGGATCTTAAAGGTCTTTATATGTCTACTTAATTATGTATAACTGAATTTTTTCGAAGAGTATTTATTAAGAACTTCTTATTACCTTCTAGATCTTCCCTAAAAGTTTGTATTTTTTAAGGTATTTTAATATTTATTTTCTTAAAGTTAAACTTTATTTTTTTTGTATTACTAGCTGATCCACCAATAGGAAAGTCATATTATTTTTGATGAATCAATTTATTTCTATCTGAAACTATATTTAATAATCCTTTTAATTTATTTTCTTCAAGAAATTTAGGTCTAATTGGAGAAAGTGATCTTTCTTCTATTAATTTGTTCTTCTATGTATTTTCAACTTTAAAAGGTTCAAAACGAAAAAATTCTCTATTTGTTGTGATAGCTTTGATTGTTGGAGATTCAAATTATTGTTAATTATTACTCCTGGAACTTAATTATTACTTCACATTTTATGGAGATAGATAAGGTTCTTAAAAATATGTATTAAGTAATGGTATTTTGAATCCCTTTAACATATAAAGAGGTTCATCATTTTAATAATGTTTGATTGCCATTGTATAGAGGTTCAAAACACAATATAAAAATTTATAATAGGTAAGAAAAATAATTTATGAATAAAGTATTATTGATCATGACATTCCAAAAAACCTTGGTGTTTCAAAATCCAAATTGATATTTTCTTTTAATTTTTGATTACAATTTTAAATAGGTAAATTGAATTTTTTTTCATCTTTCTATTTTTCTTCAAAGACTTCATTAAAATTTTGTTTCTAATTAGTTATGCTCTTTTATTGCTTATTTTTATTCAAAACTTAAGATTAAATTTGAATTATCTTACTTTCTTTTTAAGTACTATCAAGAATGTCTTTTAACTTAATCACATCAATAGGATTCTAAGCCATGTTTAAATCTTATAATTTTAAAGATCTAAAAGAACTATTTGCCTTTAAGTTATCTTACTTTCCCTATTGTTGACTTCGTTAACTTTACAGTTAGTCGTGAAATTAAGCAAGACTTTAGTTCTTTTACAGTTAATCACCTATTTGACAGATTTGATTGTGTTTGTTTTTCATAGCATTCTTATACATAGCCATCTTTGGAGAAATCAGAGTCTGTTAGTTGTTATTCTTCATGAAATGTATTAGAGTTTTGTTATTTTTATGTTATATATTAGAAATCCTTTTATGAATAATCAATCTATCCATAAAATAAAGATCTAATCAGATATAATGTCATAATTCCATTATAAAATATGAGCAATTATGTTAATAATTATGTATTCAGTTATTTAGATAACTCATGTTAATTGTGAAATTACATTATTTAATTCATTGTCAGTTATTTATATTATTTGTCTTAACATTATACATTTAATTATGAAATCCTATATTTAATCTATAAATTTTATTGTCTTTCATTATAAATTATATAAATTAAATTATTTACATATGTAAATAGAGAATATGTTATTCTGTAAAGAAGTTCTTCACGAGAAGAAACCACTCATTGCAATTTGCTTAAATAAGGATTGTTAACAATCTTCAAGTTTGTGTATTAGTTGTTTTCCAATTCACTAAAATCATAATGACGATTTATAGACAATAGAAAATGTAAGAAAAAAATTGGAAGACAAAATTTAACAGATGAAACAGAATTTTTAATTTTGTGAAGATCTAATTCAATTAATTAATTAAATCAAAATGGAGATTACTCGAACTATTCAGAATATTTATTTTGCTTAAAAACTTTCTAATCATGAAGAGATTAATAAGGTTAAAGAATTATTAATTAATACTACAATGAAATAAGATAATTCTATCTTTAAAAAAACAGAAATAGAACTAAAGAAAGTTAAAGAAATTTTAATTGATTTAAAATTTTCTATTGAATTTTCACAAAATAATCTTACTGATGGATAATAGTAAGAATTTTAAGAATGCTTAAAATCAGCAAATTAAATTTATGTATAAGGAAAATATTAACAAGCAAGAGAACTTTTTAGCTATTGTTTAAAACTTGATCCATATAGTATCAATTGTAAATGGAGAATAGGTAATTATTGTGATGAATTAGGTATGTGCTTAAAAATGTAAGGTATCTATGATTAAGCAATTGCAATTTTCGATTAAATTAATTAAGAACACCCAAACTATGTGGAATCAATCTGTCATAAAGCAGATTCTTTAAGACTTTAAGGCAAATATGATGAAGCTTTGAATTACTTTGATAAAACACTTAAATTAGATGAAAAAAATTTTGTAGGTTTGAGTTATAAAGGAGAAACTTTAAGAAAGATGTAGAAATTTGAAGAATCTTTGATATTTTTTGATAAGGCTTTGATGATCAATCCGAAGAGTGCTGTAACATTATTTGGGAAAGGTATTCTTTTAATTTTAAAATAATAGGGGATTCATTAAGATGTTTAAAAAGATATGATGAAGCTATGATAGCACTTAATCAAGGATAGTAAATTGATCCAAATAATGCATTAATTCTATATTCAAAAGGTAATTTAGACGAAAATTAATTTTTTAGGATATACATTGAAAGCAAAAGGAAAAAATTAAGAAGCATTAGAATGCTTTTAGAAATGTATAACAATAAATCCTTAATATTCAAATTCTTTAGAAAAAGAGATTGCATCTTTAAGGAAGTGATTTAAAAAAAAATTAATTTAATATTTAATGTATATTTTGGTTTGCTTATTGTTATTATAATAAGTAGAACCAAATGCGATATTCTTTCTACCTCATTCACATGATGATGTTGGTTGGTTAGACACAGTATGGAATATTTATGAATTTGGACCAGGAGTGAAAAACATAATATCATCATATTCAGAAGCCTTATTGAAAGATTCAGAGAGAAAATTTGTATAAGTAGAAACTATATATTTTAAAAAATGGTATGAAGAATAAGATATTGATACAAAACAAAAGATTAAATAATTAATTTTAAATAGACAATTAGAGTTTGCAGCAGGAGGATGGTCAATGAATGATGAAGCAACTACATATTATGAGGATATTATTGATTCATTCACTGGAGGTCATACTTACTTATATGAATAATTTAGAGTTACACCAAGAGTTGGTTGGTAAATTGATCCATTTGGACATTCTTCTACATTTGCTTATATATCTTATATGATGGGGATGGATGGATAATATTTTGCAAGAATTGATTAATTAGATAAATCTGAGAGACTTAAAAATAAAAATTTAGAATTTATATGGAATCCTAAACCTGGAATTGAATTCTTCTGTCATATCAACTATAGACATTATTCAAGTCCTCCAGGATTTGATTTTGATCCTTTGAGATCATCTCCTGAAATATAAGATTATTAAACAACTTAAAAAGCAAACTAATTATTAGAATATTTTGGATAGTAGTCTACTTATTATTAAGGAGATACTATTGTACATACTTTAGGCGATGATAATGAATGGTCATCTGCTGAAACATATTTCAAAAATATTGAGAAAGTAATTCAAAATATTAACAAAAGAAACAGTACATAAAAAATATAATTTTCTACTCCTCATTAATATTTAAAAATATTAAACCAATAAATGTTATCTTATTCAGTTAAATATGATGATTTTTTCCCATATTCAGATAATTTCCAATCCTACTGGACTGGATATTATACTTCCAGAATAAGTTTTAAAGGATATGTTAGATAATTGAGTAAAGAATTTCAATAAATAAAAACCTTCTTATCTAAATAAATTTCTTATGAAAATATTAAAGATGAAGATGAATTATTCTAACTATTAAGTGAACATAATTAAAATATGGGTATTGTATAACATCATGATGCTATTACTGGAACAGCCACACAGTTTGTAAATGATGATTATGTTAAATTATTATAATAATCATCAACACTTTTAGAATAATATATGAGAAAGCATGTTTCAATAATAACAGAATAATAGTTACAATATAAAAATTATGAATTTTATACTTGTTATTACAATAAATCTATATCTGACTGCAAATAATTAGATTTATGGCTTACTTCAAATAAAACTGTTCTTTTAGCTTTATTAATGAATTCAAATAGGATAGTTAAATTACCTGTTCCTAATCTTCATTATAAAATTTTAGATGAAAATAATATATCTTTAAATTATTCTTTATTATGTGATAATCATGATTGTGCTTTATATTTTATAATAGATTAAGATAAGATTTAAGAAATATAATTTTATAAAATAATTCCATAAGTAGATAAACATCCTCCTATAACTAAAAAAATAGAGATTATTTTAAATGAAGATTCTGATTTATCAACGATTTTAAATAATAATACAAAAACTAATCATACTTTTAAATTATCATACTCATACTATAAATCTTCTTCTGATTCTAGATAACCAAGTGGTGCATATATATTTAGACCTGAAGGAAACCTTTATCCTTATGGTAGTATTGTTCATTCTTCCATTCATTAAGATGATATTGTTACAGAATTAATTATTAAAAGAAGTGATGTAACTACAAAAATAAGAAAATTTAAACATTTGAATAATGAATATGAGATTGAAACACATTTGAATTCACTTGAGTTCATTAATAAAACAGGTAGAGAAGTAGTTATGTTAATTGATACAGAAATATAAAATAATAATATATTTTATACAGATAGTAATGGTTTAGATCTATAAAAGAGAATTGTAAATTATAGAGAAACTTTTAATTTAGTGAGTTCTGAACCTATTTCATAAAATTATTATCCAGTAACTAATATGATATTACTCAATTAAACTAATGGTTAATCAGTTGCTGTTATTAATGATAGATCTTAAGGTGGTACTAGTTTAAAACAAGGATAAATTGAATTAATGATTCATAGAAGAATAGGAACTGATGATAGAAGAGGTGTTGGAGAAGCTTTAAAAGAAGATATAGATGATCCTTAATGTTATAAAACTAACAAGTGTTCAACTAAAAAAGGTATCTCTTAAACTTTATTACATCATCTTACATTCTTTGATAGCAATCATAATCCAAATTAAGCTAGAAAAGTTTAATTAAGACAAGATATGATTGCACTCAAATATTTTGCAGAAGATTTTTCATCTACCTTCAATTTTTCAAAAAATAAAGTCATCGCTTAAAGTTATCTTGATGAAATAGTAGTATTTGATGAAGAATCTATATCAAAAATAAGAATCGAACCATAATTATAATATTTTATTGTTAGGATACATAATCTATAAGAAGTTGGTATTATTGATTTTAATCTACCTAAAAGTGTTTAATATTTTTCAACTACTATGAATGGTCTTATGACAATTGAAGAATGGCAATCATCTAAATTATGTATTAAATCAATCTATTATCATAGAATGGCAAACCAAGAATATTACTAAAACTTAATTTATATCAAACGAATTTTAAGTTCAACCCTTATTCATATCAACATTTATTATTATTAGGTGAAATATTATAAATAAATTATCCCTTATATGATTTTTTAATTTAATAGTTTTATAAATTTAAAATAATCTTATATACATATTTATCTTTCCTTTAAATCTCCCTTGTCTTATAATATCCCGTTTCTTTTCTTTTTTATTTTTTCTTAATTTAACTAAATTTCCTCAAGAAAATATGCCTGTTTATTATAAAATACATTTTTATTCTAATGATCTTTCATATTGTTTATATACTTTTATTTTTAAAAATAAAATAATTTAAAAAAATCAAGAAATTTTCTCCTTATTGAATTTACTTTAAAAAATTATTCTCTATTTAATTCAAAAATTTTGATGGGTCACCGCATTTTTAAGTTCATTTTACATAATATAATATTTTATTATATATATTTGTTAATCTAAGTATCAATATGAAAATTTCAATTTTACTGAAAGCTTCAGTATCGTTTTATATAGTATTTTTAAGTTATTTTAAAAAAAATTTTTTTTGACCATATTGGATTAAATATTTTTAGATAAATTAGGAAAAAAGAAATTACTTATTTTTATTATCCTGTGTTAAATCTTATTTCTTCTACTTCTAATACTTTTAAACTGAAAATTTAAGCTTAACCATATTTATTCATAAGTTTTATAATTATTAATTAATATTCCTAATGACAAATAATTCTGATTGTTGTATTAATTCTATTCAAGATAAATATACAATGTTATATATATATTTTTTGGACAATAATATATAAAAAGTTCTATAATTGGATAGCCATTTATCATTGGTTTAACAAAAGAATCAAAAGTAGAAATGATTATTTTAAAAGATTTTTGTTAAAATAAATTAATGAAATATTGGGTCTAATTTAATAGCTTTATCATAATGGCATAGTTTTTGATAATACATTTAGATCAATATATTGAATTAAAAAATGATAGTAATAAATTTTTTAAATCACAATTGAATTTTTATTAAAGTATTAATAATATGAGAAGATAAGTAATAGTGGTACTTAAGATTTTATATTGATATAAATATAATATGATATACATTAGATAAATGTCAACCCGACCCATAAATGATTTTTGAAAGATCTAAATTAGGATTATTTTGTAATTATGTAAAAAGATCTTGGTTCAAGAATTCTTAGAACTTAGAAATAAAAGAGAAATAAATACTTATTTGAATTAATCAGCTGGAATAGCTTATTTTCTGATATTTTCATAGAACTTTTCGACTTTAATAGCTAATTTAAGATCATTAAATTGAGCAGGATAGTCAAAAGGATCAGCAATTTTTTAAGCTAAGAAAAATGATTAGTAATGGAATACATATTATTGGATGTGTTTTAGATAGAGATTCTTTCCATAATTTGACTATTGGACTTATTTTGGAAGGACAATATGTTTTAGCAAAGAAAGCAGCTTCAGGCAATCTATTACTTTTAATAAGAACATCAAGACATTTGTCTAAATTAGCACATAAAAAATATGCAGAGAAAGCTATATTCATTTTAGTTTATTAAAAAGCTTTATCAGCTAATTGTAATAGTTGACTTTTTAATCCTAAAGACGAATAAATTAATAAGAGTCCTCCAAAATCATCAGCTAATTCTAAAGCTTAAANTATTGGATTAAATATTTTTAGATAAATTAGGAAAAAAGAAATTACTTATTTTTATTATCCTGTGTTAAATCTTATTTCTTCTACTTCTAATACTTTTAAACTGAAAATTTAAGCTTAACCATATTTATTCATAAGTTTTATAATTATTAATTAATATTCCTAATGACAAATAATTCTGATTGTTGTATTAATTCTATTCAAGATAAATATACAATGTTATATATATATTTTTTGGACAATAATATATAAAAAGTTCTATAATTGGATAGCCATTTATCATTGGTTTAACAAAAGAATCAAAAGTAGAAATGATTATTTTAAAAGATTTTTGTTAAAATAAATTAATGAAATATTGGGTCTAATTTAATAGCTTTATCATAATGGCATAGTTTTTGATAATACATTTAGATCAATATATTGAATTAAAAAATGATAGTAATAAATTTTTTAAATCACAATTGAATTTTTATTAAAGTATTAATAATATGAGAAGATAAGTAATAGTGGTACTTAAGATTTTATATTGATATAAATATAATATGATATACATTAGATAAATGTCAACCCGACCCATAAATGATTTTTGAAAGATCTAAATTAGGATTATTTTGTAATTATGTAAAAAGATCTTGGTTCAAGAATTCTTAGAACTTAGAAATAAAAGAGAAATAAATACTTATTTGAATTAATCAGCTGGAATAGCTTATTTTCTGATATTTTCATAGAACTTTTCGACTTTAATAGCTAATTTAAGATCATTAAATTGAGCAGGATAGTCAAAAGGATCAGCAATTTTTTAAGCTAAGAAAAATGATTAGTAATGGAATACATATTATTGGATGTGTTTTAGATAGAGATTCTTTCCATAATTTGACTATTGGACTTATTTTGGAAGGACAATATGTTTTAGCAAAGAAAGCAGCTTCAGGCAATCTATTACTTTTAATAAGAACATCAAGACATTTGTCTAAATTAGCACATAAAAAATATGCAGAGAAAGCTATATTCATTTTAGTTTATTAAAAAGCTTTATCAGCTAATTGTAATAGTTGACTTTTTAATCCTAAAGACGAATAAATTAATAAGAGTCCTCCAAAATCATCAGCTAATTCTAAAGCTTAAACAGCTATTTTAATTCTCCCTTACTATAAAGCAAGATCACCAACTTGTCTTAATTTAAGTTAATCTTAAGATTATTAAGCTATTTGAAAAGCATCATCTACAATAGTAAGTTAAAGAGCAAGATCAAATTTATGATCTTAATCTTAAACTAATTTATAAGCCCATTCTTTAAGATTGAGAGTATCAAGAAATTTAGATAATTTATCATAATACTAGAGTGGTATTGTTTATAAGATTTCTTCTGCTTTTTGATATTGTTTTTTTAGAATTTAAGTTTGAAATTCAACAACATTACTATTAACTTCATAACTAATGATAGTGTAATTTTTATCAATAAGATAGAGTTTATTCTATTATTAGATATATCCTATTATATAATACTTTTTATCTTGATCAACAATGAAAATTTTACCATTAACAGAATATGCAATTTTTCCATTGAGTGTAGTATAATAAAAAACATCTTAGATGAAATAACCAGAATTTATTGATTCAGTAATATCACATAAAGGTTAAAAGGCATCTTCAAATCCATCAGGCTCTTCATCTTATTATAAAAAGATTGGTAATTATTCTGGATCATATTATAAAAAATAAATTTCTTCATTAGTAGCCAAAGCTGCTATTGTATTAGTATCATTCCAAATAACTTTTTTAGGTGAAACATCTATTCTCCTGATAACTTTGGCTGTTTCCCAATCATAAAATATAATAAATTCTGAACTTTTAGCCCCAAACACAGGTCCAGCAAATAATTATTCAACCATATAGTCTGTTTTCATTTCATAACTTAATGTATTATTTTTGAATATTTTAATTGAATACATTTCTCTGACAGCATAATCACCATTTTATGACCAGATTAAATCTGTACCAGATCCAAAACCTGAATTTTTAAAGTTTTATGATCTATATATAGTATATTCAGAATCACTAAAGATTGCGAACATATGACCATTTGGACTATGTCTCACTCCACAAGGATATATATCACTTATTCCCAATTCTTTAGAATTTGTTTATACTATTTATCCATCATTAGATGTATTATTAACAGCTTTAAGATTAATAGTAAAGAATTCAAAATTTTTACCATAAACAACTTTTCCTTATTACATAGATACAATAGGTTCATCTTAACCAATTTTAACAACAACAGTTCCTTCATCAAATCCAAATGCTAAAGTATTATCTTTTCCAATGTCTAAACTCCATACTCTTTCCATATTGTAATTAAGGGAAGTTTCTAATTTGTAAGTATTTGAATGCCAGAATCGAATGACTCCGTCTTCAGCAGCTAGAGAATTATGCTAATTTGTGTATACTTGATATAATTAATGGTAAATCAGGATGGAATCTAGCTGATGATATATTCTGTTAATGTGCTTCTAATGTATGTATACATTATTTAGTTTAATAATCCCATATTTTAATAGATCTATCATCACCTCCTGATATTAAATAAGGTTTATCTCCATGATGGAAATCTACACAGTTAACTCCTCCTTCATGACCACTTAATGTAAAATTAGGTTTGCTATTTTGAATTGTCCATACCTTAACTGTATTATCCATACTTGCACTTGCAAATGTATTAGGATCTCTTGGATTGAATGCAACCATCATTACATAATTAACATGATCCTCAAATGTTCTTATTAATGCAAAATTATTATCCATATCCCATAATTTTATAGTTGTATCATCTGAACTAGTTATCAAATATGGTTAAGATGGATGCACTATTACACATCTTATATAGTCTGTATGTGCATCAAATGCCTATTTATTAACTTCATTATATACTTTTATCTTTTCATTTGTATTATAATTGAATACTCTCAATTACAGATCATCACTAACTGCTACTACCCATTATTTCTTTGTTATAAACTTTGCACATCTTACAGGCTACTATTTCTAATTCACCTCTATTTATTTCACAATTGTCTAAATTATCTATTACTATATCTACCTAATTGCCATAATCTTAAATTGTTATAACACCACTATATAATCCTGATAAAACCCATCCATATTCTGGATGCAATTCTACACTCTTTACTCTTTCTGAACGAGCTACATGCTTCTTCTTTATTTCGAACTTCAAAGACATTTAATATACGTGTAAATTATTTATTTTAATATTTATTTATTTTTTTCCTTTTTTCTCAAACAAAAATTATCATGTACTTATAATTATTTATTTTCATTCTCAATTTTACCTTAATCATATCTAATCATAATTAATCAATATATTAAGCATTTTAATGAACCACTTTATTATCTCTAACTTTCTATTGGCAATGACTATCTGATTACAGAATCATTCAATCTATTTTTTTACATTCTTCTATCAGAATCTGCTTTTTAAAGATTGAAAATATTATTTTCTATATATATTTCATCATTATTACTTTTAATTATTGTTATCAAAAAGTCTTTATATCCTAATTCTTTTTTTGCACTTCCAAAAAAACACTCTAAATTCAAATCTAATTCATTTATCATTTGTTTCATCTCCTTTTTTTTATCTAATTAATTTATATTCTAATTAATCATTTAAATTTTAATTTCATCATCATCTTCTTCTAATGTTTAGCCAATTGATATTGTTTTATTGTAATTTACAAAATCTATATCATCAATCAAATCCATTTTATTGATAAGTACATATTTTGTAAACACATTATAATCTTCACATTCTTAATCCCAATATTATATTGCACTTCTTAAATCATCAGTACAAGTTACATCAATTACAATGAATGCAAATAAAGAACCTCTAAAAAATGCCTAAATTAACTACAAGGTACCTTTTTCACATCTTAATAAGATTAATTATGATAAGAACCACAATCCCAAAAGATTAATGTGTATTATTAATCATTTATTCTATATTCAGCTTTATCTATTTTATAACATGTTGTAGATTTAATTTCAGTATCAAATTGTTTATTACATAATTAATTGATAATACTTGATTTTCCTACTCCTTCATATCCAAGAACAACAATTTTGATATTTGTGGTATCGATTACTTCATCTGAAATTAACAATTAATCCATAATTTTAATATATATATATATATAAATTATAAAAATTTCATTCTAAAAGAGCACAAACAACATCTTTACTATAGATTTTTCTCTTTTTTACTATAGAATGATCATTCAAATCAGGAGGTAAAGCATATTTAATGAATCTCTTTTAATATTCTTCCTCTATGCATTCTTTAAATATGTGTTAATAAAAGAACTCTAAAGGTATTAATAAATATTTAATACTTTTTGAAATAGCTTCAGTCAATAACATTAATTTTTCATAATATTTAATATCCCAAACTTTTTTATGCGATTCACTAAATTCCTATGAAACTTATTTCCATTTTTCTGGAATATCAAGTTTTTTAACCAAAGATTTTAATTAATGATTTTAATTGGTTTCTTCTTTCTTTTTTTGTTATTATTTGAACAATTGTTTATTTACATTTATTTCTTGTTTAGTTTTTTAATCTACAGTCTCTTAAACTTTAGCCAATTTAATTGAATCAATATCTATTGGTTAAGGTTTTTCAACTTTAGCTCTTTTTTTAGTTGGTTTTTCTTAAGGAGATTATCTATAAGAAATATCTTGAATTCTTTAAATGATGTCTAAATTTGAGAAAGTAACATCGTTTTTTTAAAATTTTGAATTTTATGAAATTATGGAGTGAATTTAATGAGGTTGAAGTGCTGGATGAGGTGTTTATTTTTTTATGAAAGCTTTTTTAATTAGTAAAGTTGGGATTGGATGTTGGTATTATAGTAAATTAATAGAAATAGTAGTTTATTCATCATTGACTTTTTGAATAATACAATTAAGTAATTCAACAGCATTCGTTTCAAAGTTGAATTGATATTCAAATTGATAGGATTGAATAATGAGGATTGATTGTGATTTATATTCAATGTCAATGAAATATTTGAATTCTTTTGTATCTTAGTAGATATTATCGGAAACATTGAGTAATTAAAACTCAGTGAATGGATTTTTGGATCCAAGAAGTTCATTATGTAGATGTGACTAGAGTAGAGAGTAAATCATAACTCAAATTTTTTTAAATTTAATTGATTGGCGCTGGTAATATTAAAATATAATTAAATATGGGATCCATATGCTTAAAAGAACGGCTATAAGTAGAAGAAAAATCTAATTCAATAGACAAAAGAGATGAAAAGGAGGAAGATGAAGATGAAGAAATGTATTCTTAGTTTCCTTAATAAGATTAAGAAAGCTAAAAGATCTCATTAAGTTAATTCATAATGTTAAGAGTATTAAGAGAATATAATAAAAGATAAAATAAGAGTTATTACTTTATTTAATTTAAGAATTAGGAAAAGGCAACTTATGGAAAAGTAATTTTAGTTTAACATACTGTTTCTCTAAAATTATATAAATGCAATCAAAATGTTAATAAAGAGGGCAGTGAAAAAAATTCACAGAAAAAAACATATTTAAATAGAAAGAAAGATTTTAAAAATGATCAATCATAATTTTATTACCTGATTTAGAGTAAGGCAAAATATATTTGATAATGAAATTTGTATCAGAAGGAGAACTATTCTATCATTTCAAATTAAAAAGTAGAATGACAGAAAGAAAGATGAAGTTCTATGCAGCAGAAATTTTAGTAGGATGAGATTATTTACATTAAAAAGAAAATTATATATAGAGATTTAAAACCAGAAAATATTTTGTTAGACTCAAATGGACATTTAAAATTATATGCTTTTGTTTTATGAAAAATATGTAGCATGGGTGATAAGTTTGTTAAGAGTATTTGTGGAACTTGTGAATATAAGGCTCCAAAAATCAACTTTGAAGAAATTTATACAAAATTTTATTATTGGTGGACATTATTATTTGATATGATATTGGTAGACCTCCTTTAATTAGTTAAACAAATAAATAAAATTTTGAATTGGCTACTGTTAAAGATATTGAAATTCCAAAATATTAATCTGAAGAAGCTATAGATATTTATCAATAAATTTATTGAAGAGAACCATGAAGATATATTAAATGAATAAAGATATTAATATTTAAAAGAATGAAAAAAAAGAGATTAATCCACTAAATGATAGGAATAATGATGTCAAATTTGTTAATAAAAATTTAATAACAAAAAAGCACCATAAATGATACATTAATAATCAATGAATTAGGTAGATATTAAGAATTTTGTAATTTAGCATAGACATATTATGTAAATGAATTTAATAAATTATTAATTATTGATTGAAAATAATATATTTTTAACATATATTTATAAATACAATAATAAATATCATTTTCTTCTTAAATTTGATTCTTTATTTAATTCTATAAATTCACTATTAGATCTTGAGTATATTACTGGATCAGCTGCTTCTGCCATACTTTCAATAGCTGATTCATCAACTCCTCTTTTCATTCTAAAAATAATATTATTTAAAATATTTACCTAAAATTTCCATTTTCTCCCCATTAACTACCCCAACTATTTTATAATAACCAAAATTTAACTCCATTCTCTTCTCCCCAACCATAACATAATACTGAATGATCTACTTTTTCCTATTTATTATTAATATAATTTTATATACCCATTCTGGACGATCTTAAGTAGACCAATCATGTTCAGCAACTGAATGATATATACCACTCTCATAATACATAAAATCATATGATGGTTCAAAATTCATAATTACTGGACCATTTGTAAATAATTCCATCATTATATCTCTTTCATTACTTAATCCATATCCTCCTCCTATATATCTATAATTCTTTGCCCCATAAACTTTTTATTATTATGAAAAATCTATCTTTTTACAAGTTCCTACATCTCCTTTATATGGATATTATTCTTCTGTTACTAAATATTATTCAGATGCA